TGCACCCCACCCCCGTTCTGGCTCCCCGCCCGCCCTGGGGCAACACCACCGCACCTTCACGTGGGGGACCACGCGCAGAAAGCGGAACACGATGAGCACGTTCAGCGCCCGGGTCATCTCCCACAGCGACAGCAGGCCCAGCGTCTCCGGCTGCCTGAAGGACACGGCAGGGTCGGGAGGGGTCGGGAGCCCGGGGAGACTGGATGGGCGCCGGCGGGGGGCGGGACACGGCAGCATCCGCCTAGGCCCCGGCAGGCAGAAGAGCCCACCCAGAACGGCCCAGAGCCACCACGCCTTCCGCCCAGCCCTGTGGCGGCTGGCACGGCCTCCATCCATGCAGGAGTCGGGCTGAGGCTCCAGGCGCTGGGACCTGCCCAAACTCAGTACTGGCGGAAGCAAGGGAGTCCATGACCCCCGATCCAGGCTCCTGGCCCTGACCCCTGACCCTATCCTGGCCCCAACCTGTCCCATCCTTTGACCCCCATCTCCTGTCTTGTGACCTTGGCCCCTGACCTAGTCCCAACCCCACCCATTCTCTGACCTCATCTCCTGTGCCAAGGCCCTGACCCCTGACCTTGTCCCATGAGCCTGCCTGTCCCGTGACCCCATCTCCCATCCCATCACTCTGACCCCTGACCTCATTCCGACCCCACTCACCACCTCCTGCCCTGCGACCTCGGGCCCCAGCCCCATCCCTGCCCACGCCCCCTCCCCCACAGTGTCCCTCACAGGCTTTCTGTTCAGACTCAGGCCTCTTCTCGCCCAGAATGACCCCCCGTGATTCCCAAGGTAATGGCTCAGAGCAAAGTGCACAGGAGAGGCAGGAACGTCAGCCCTGGGATGCCAGGCAGCATGGCGTCACCTGGGCTTGTCTTCCCGAGAGAAGTCCCAGCGGGCTTCCCGGGGAGGTGACCCAGCACCCCTCAGCCATCCCCAGTTGCTCACTGGACTGCAGAGAGACGACAGAAGCACAGAGACGCTGAAGAGCCGGGCCTGGCCACGGGTCCAAGCCCGGCAGGCATGCCCGCTGGGCCCTGCCCACCCTCCCTGTTTCAGCACGGGCACAAAGGAAACTCACTGCGCCCACCGGTCGCTGCCATGCCCCTGGCAGAGCAGCCTCACTGACAGCCCCACCAGGCCACGAGGCTCCTGGGGTCCTGGCCCAAGGTCCCTCTGCACAGCCAGAACTGGGGGCCGTGGGGCCCAAGCAGTCTCACAGGAGTTCAGCGAGCCCAGGCTCTTGGCTCTGCCCCTTTAAGGGGTGAACCGATGCCCAGCGTGGGAGGTGAAGATGCAAGGTCACACCGCTGGGCAGGAGCCCACCCAGGGACCCGTCCACCAGTAGGAAGGCCCGGCCCATCCCCGTGCCAGCCCTGAGCCAGGGGCCAGCCCTGAGCCAGGGGTTCCGCCTCCACCCCCGGCCCCCCTGGGGACACGTGTCCCACCCCAGGGCTGGGAGGGGCCCACTGCCGCTCAAGGGCAATCAGCTTCCGCCAGAGCCCCCGGGCGCTAGTTTGGAGGACGAGACCCCCACAAGCTAGGAACAGGGCCGCATCCCAAGAGCTCTCGGCTGGGGGCACCAGCCACCTGCGCAACCCCGTCTGCCCTCGGATCAGAGCCGCCCAGGCGAGCGGCCCGGCCTCCAGGGCAGCCGGGACCCCGGGGACAGGCCGGGTGCCACGTGCCGTAGCCTCCCTGGGTCTCTGCAGTCACATACCAGCCCGAGTGTGGGGATCGGTACACGGCCAGAGTGGAGAGCTCCAAGACCTTCAATCGCAAAAGAGAAGCAGGTCGCCACGGGACGCCACCAGGGGCAATCGGCAGCAAACGGCGCCATGCGTGGGAACAGGCTCCCCGGGCCGCTCTTGGGAACTTGGAGCTCAGCCCTCGTCCCGACAGGCTCCAGGTGCCAGGGCTCCCTGCTGCTGGACAGACGCCCCAGCCCAGGAATCGGGCCAGGAGCCACGCAGTCAGGGCTGGACACAAGCCCTTCTCGAGTCCTGTCGCCCAAGCTCCCACCCGCCACGTGTGGGTCAACGTCGCCCTGACGCAGCTGCCGAGACACACCCCGCATGGGCCCCTCACCCCACAGCATCTGGGAGAGAAGCAGGCGTTGCCCAAGGACACCCTGTTCCCTAAGCCCGGCCCCTCGCCCCGCCATGCCGAGCCCCCGTAGGAAGCCGGGACGCACGGAAGGCTGTGCCCAGGGCTGGACTGGCTGGCAAGGGTGGCAGGTGCTTCCGGCCTCCCTCGGAAACTGACAGCAGCAGCCTGGCCCCGTGATGCTCCGATGCAGCGGAAATCCAGCCCCACCAGCCCCACCGCCGACCACTGAGCCGCTCGGGGTGGGGGGAACGGCCCCTGTGGCTCGAGGCAGGAACCCAGTTCCCCGTGGTCCCTGGCCCTTGGGGGAAGTCTGAGCCTGGACAGGGCACAGAGCTGAGGCGGATGCCCCGTAGGCCGTGGCCCGCCGTCCCCGACTGTACCAGCAAGCCAATGGTGAGGAGCCCGTCAAACACGTTGCTGGAGAAGGACAGGTACCCTCGCGGGCCCAGGGCAAACACCTTGAGCAGCATCTCCAGGAGGTAGTACAGGATGAAGGCTCGGTTGAGCCCCTGCGGGGAGGAGCCAGGTCAGCTTGGCCGGGTCCATCGAGTCCCGCGTGTGACAGGGACGCCTGGGTGCTCACCTCCAGCACGAAGTCGTCCCGCACGTCCGAGTCCAGCACCAGGAACACCTGAAAAGCCAGAGCGTCCGCGGCTCACCCCGATGCCCGCAAGGTGCCAGGCAAGGTGGAAAGGATGGGCTCAGGGTGGAGGGGGGTGAGCAGAAGGCAGCTCCATATTCACGTGGGGCAGGCGCACTCACGCAAATAGACACGAGGTTTCCCAGGGCGATGAGGTTCCCCAGGCAGTCAAAGTAGTAGTGGCCAAAGAAAAACTGGGCGCTCTGCAGAAACGGAGACCGGTACACGGGCCTCGGCGGGTGCTGGAGGGAACACGCGCGCTCAGAAACAGCCCTGCGGGTACCGTGCTGACAGCCCCGGAATGTCTGTGCCTCTTCCCTGGGGTCTGACGCATTTCTACCTAGCCTCCTGTCCCAGTCTATCCAGTCTAAGGAAATAATCCCAAACACAGAGATCGTCTTACGCACAGAGATGTTCATCACAGGGGCCTTTTCGACACCAAAAGACAGGTGCGAAGAACCGAAAAATCCACTGGGGCTCTAAGTAAACCACCCTGCGATGTCACACGGTCATCTCAAACATACGCAAAGTGTTCACCATGATATTAAAACTGCTATGTGTTGTATTCTCATTATCTTTTGAAGAGACTCCTGACAGGGATCCATGTGATGCACAAAACAAAGAAAAAGAAAGAAAAACAGATTCTTAGATGGCTCTCTACATACAATCTACTTGACACAAACTATGACTAGTACAAAAAGGTTTAAAAACGATGACAGCAATAAAACTCGATAAAATGATTCACTTTCTCAAATGAAATAAGATAAGATAAAACTGCTATGTGAAAAAATACAGTAAATGAGCCAGTCGCAGTGGCTCACGCCTGTCATCCCAGTACTCTGGGAGGCTGAGGCAAGAGGACTGCCAGAGCCCAGGGATTTGAGACCAGCCTGGGCAACTTGGCGAGATCTCATCTCTACAATTAATCAAATAGTTAGCTGGCCATGGTGGCACACGCCTGTAGTCCCAGCTAATCGGGAGGCTGAGGTAGAAAGGATCACCTGAGCCCAAGAGGTTGAGGCTATGGGGGCTCTGATTGTGCCACTGCACTCCAGCCTGGGCAACAGAGTGAGACCCTCAAATCAAAAAATACACACACACGCACAGAGTAAAGGACACACTCACAGCTATGAGAACTGCAATGGGACAAACTAACTCTACACTGTGAGCCGGCGGGAGTCAGTACGACAGCGGGAACCCGGCAACGATGACCAATGTGAAGCCACACTGGAGAGCCAGCAACTTCAGAGCCCTGCGCCCTCCTGAGACCCTTCCGCACACATGCAAGGAGAGACAGAGGCTGGTGACCACGGCCGACCTGTGAACGGACCTGAGCCTGCCGTCCACTGGCCACACGTGGCGACTTCATGTCAATGTCAGCCCAAGAGAAGTCGACATTCAGTTCCTCCGTGACAACAGCCTGACAGCTACACGAGTCAAGTGGCTTCTACACTGGCCGGGCAGGGAAGGAGCAGCTGGGCCCTGTCCCGGAGCCCCACGAGAAAACAGCAAAGTCCATGAGACGCTGTAGAGTGAAAGTGACCACACTACACACACACATCAAGGGAAAACAAAATCAGCGTTTCTCCAGGTTCATACATGTCTGCAATGACATGGAAAGTCGGGAGGAAAAACACCAAAATTCCCACTGAGCAGAGTAGCCACTCTGGAGCGGGGCCCAGGCTGCTGGCGCCAATGGCCAGTTTACAGTCTCGACTCCAGGCTCGCCCTTCAAGGCCTGCTCTGGCCCGATGGGCAGGGCCTTTCAGGTCCCATCCACAGGGAGCCCGAGGTGAGGCCCCGCCCCCACTCCAGCCCCTCCCAGGGTCCCTCCACAGAGCACTGGGGTGAAGCCCCCAGGTGGAGGGGGCTGGGGGACAGCAGGAAGGCGAGGCTGTCCTGTGGGTCTCCACGGTGGGTCGGGGTGGCGTGAGGACATCTGAGGGGCTCCGTCCTGGACACACCCGGACACACAGTCCCCTGGTGACCTACAGGCGTCCCTGGCCTACTGACAACGGTCCCCACACCAGGTCTCAGTGTGAGACCAGTGCCCAAGGCCACCTGCCTGCACGGCGCCAGTTCTCTCCGCAGTCCTGGCCAACGCCTGCCGCCGGCCCAGGCCCTGCCACCCCAGGGCCCGCCGCCATGGGCCTGAGACCCACTGAGAGATGGATGCCCTGACCTGGGCCTTCAGCCTCCAGAAGGGGAGACGCTGCTGGTTGCTTGAGCCCCACCTGCCGGCCCACCCACCTGCCCCAAGCTGTGGTGCTCAGCCTGGAGGCCCAAGCACACGGTCCACCAAGCACAGGGGGACACTGAGCACACGGAGACATGAGCACAGAACCAGCCGTGGACATCTGGCTCCACCTTGGCCCCGCCCAGATGCTGGAATGGCAGCCCCTCCCCCCTTCCCAGGCCTCCACCTGGCTCCACCTCCGGACACAGTGTGTGATGCCGAGGACCCCCCAGCACCAAGGACAAAAGAGAAGACCAGTGTCCCCACCTCCTGGGGAAGGACAGACGGGAAGAGGGGAGCCCGTCACGGAAACAGAAAACTTCTGGAAGGTTCCTCTGTGCCAGACTCGGCTCAGGCAGGTTCCTGGGGTCTGGTGAGCTCCATGAGGCCCCCAGTCGCCAAGAGACAGACTTCATTCCTGCGTCTCCGGGCAGGTAAGCCCTGGCATGGATCACCAAGAGCTCCCCAGTGATCAGCGAAAAGCTCCCGCCTACCGGGCGGCCTGGCCATTACCTCTTTGACCACGCTCTTGTCCAGCTCGTTGAAGAGGTTCTGAAACTCGTTGGCCGACAGCAGGACACCGCTGTGCGCACACACCTTCTGCAGAGGAACACGGGTCAGTCGGGCCGGAGCAGGAGGGGAGCGCCAGCCCCCCACCCCACGGGCTGTAAACGCTGGGCTCATCGGTGATGTTCCTTCGGCCCAGGGACCTCGCAGCGGCCGCAGTTACCTGCACGATGGCCTGTTTGTGGGAGCTGTCCAGCTGCACTTCCTGAAGCACCCGTAGCAGGTCCTGGGGCCTCACCCCTACCCTGTGGGGGAACCCACAGCATGAGCATGGCCACCTCGGCCGGGCCCCAGCCTGAATCCCACGGCCCGGCGTCCGGCCCACTTGGTCACCAGTCCACTTCGCAGCCTGGGCCCCAACAAGCACCTCTGAGGGGTGTCGGCTGTCCCCCCTGAGGAGAGGCAAGATGACTCTGCCACCATACACGGTCAAGACCAGAACCTTCCACGGCCACCTCCCTCATGCTCTCTGCCCTCAGTGCCCAACAGGAGAGCGGACAAGGGCCCACGTGAAGCGGGAGGACTGGAGGGCCGGGCCCCCCACCATCGCCAGCCCAGCCTGTCCAGAGGCAGCACGGGGAGCGCAGGGAGCAGGGGCAGGAGCCGCGAGAACGGGGACACGGCAGCCCTGACGCCCCTGGGAGCGAGGCGCAGCC